AGCATTTAAACACCCATGCGGCTTGGTCCAAAAAAATACAGTCAAAAAAAGACAGGCAAAGCAGCTAAAAATACTTTCAGATAATCCGGTGTGTCTAAACCTCTTCCCAAATTCCTCTTCTCGGTGGAATTAAGCCAAAACTCTTAGGAAAGGCGAGGGGTTTTGTATTTCCTTATACAAACGTGCAACACGCACAACTTTAAGGCAGGACTCGTGTAAACAGACAGGGTCCAGAGGACACTACGACAGTTGTGGAAACGTTCACGTCTCTGAGCTGCACCACCAAGGGCAAAGAACGCTACGAGCCAGTTTGCCAAGACAGACGTATCTCCACTGCAAGGATATTTCTCCTATAAGCCTACAAATCGACATTTGCTATCTGAAAATACACATATATATTTTATGTGTACACAAAGGCAGGCATGCATAACGCAGACTTTTTTCCTCTGCTTTTGGGGGGGGAAAAAAAAAAGAAAAAAATTTAAAAAAAAAAAATAAAAAAATCAGTATTTCCACCATGTGAGCAACCATGGAAAAACCCCAGAGGTTAAAACACAGTCCGTGACTGCCATCTTGTGACAGGAGGGAGCCAGCAACTGACTCCAGGGAAGGAACAAACAAGGGTTTTGGTGGAGCTGGAGAAGTCAGGATTTCCATAACCTCCAGTTTTCTTTACTGACATTTCCAAATTAAACAGTCAAAATGCAGGTGGGGGTAGGAGAGCAATAGCCTTGACTCACTGACTCAGATGCAAACAGAGCAGAGCAGTGGGAAATTAAGCACAGTAGGGCTGTATAACCAATTATTTTATGTAACCAGCCTTAAGACCATCAGGAACTGAAAACCAATTTGCTGGAATAACTCAGTGCTTAAGAAACCAGCAGGTTGTTTTTCCTCTAAGTTGTTGTGCTGACATTTTAGTGCCAGATGCCCAAGACTTACTTCCTTAAAAATTAACAAGCTTTTCCAAGCTATGGCCCTCGACGACTCGTCAACAAGAGGACATTATCCTCCCTGCTGAAGTCCAGCTTTAGCTTGGTGCACCGAAATAGGTTCATCTATTGTTTTACTGTATCGTTTTTCTACTTGTTTTTAATATATTGGCAATGAATCCATCCACCGATTTACTCTTTTGTCACTAACAATTAGGAAAAATAAAGGATTCAGGCGTGTTGATAGAAATAAATTCCTAACAGACAAAAATTCACCAGCTCTCCAAATGAAGGCAGGGTTGGATTACAGAAAAACAAAAAAACAACCCTCCCCAGAATTTTAGAAGTAGTAATAGTAGCAAGGAATGTCATTTGTATTGTTGTGAAAGGGTTTCAGTCTCCACTGTGTTTTTTGAAAAACGATTAAACTGTGCCTTGCCCTATTCTGTGACCTAAAATCTCCTAAAACCAAACACCTGAACTTCTCAAGTAACAAAATTCTATTTTTAAAAATCTGAAAATTATCATGATGTTTATCCCATATGTTATTTACAAACTTGCTGGACTGGAACTTTGTTTTAACCTTTCTACAATTAACTGAACGACAGGTTTAATGTAAATATGTTTCCAGCTATGAACTGCCAAAGGAAAAACAGCAATGACAGAGGACTCTGAAGCACGCAGTCAGGAGAGAAGAATGGGTTTCTAATGACCCTTCCCCACAGGGTGGCCCAGTAGCAGATTGGTGACCACCAGAAAAAGAATGCCATTGTAGTTAAAACACAGGCCATTAGCGGAAACTCAAATTAAGCTAATGCTTTCAGAAAGTGGTGTGGAGTGGCCAGCTGAGAGCATGATGTTAAAAGAGGGCTTGGTGTGCTCCAGCTGCCAGGCTCCTGAGGGACACTCAGCTTCAGCATCTACAGTCACAGCTTTTGCTACCGTAGTTGGGAGAAAGTAAATCCATCTAGACTAAAACAGGGCCACACTTCTGGCACCCCTACCCTCTCCCTCTCGGCAAGAGGGTCTAAAGTCACCTAGCAGTTATTTCCTGCATTTTATCATCAGCATGGTCTCACCATTGGAGCAGGGGGAAAGGATTTGCCTTGTCAATATTATACACTATTCTGAGTTTGAAAACAGCTTGTTATCTTTTGGTGCTAGGGCTACTGCTTACACATGGATTGCTTTGTCCATCACATACCTGCTTGCCAAATGGAGGTCCCCAAATCTACCTGAGGAGACTTCCTGGCACCAACAAATCCTAGGGCGTCTTCTAAAAACTGTATCTTCTTGCTAAACTGCACCTCCAAGATGGGGATTGCTTCTGGCATCTTTGCTGACAAGAGCCGGTAAGAGGTGTCGGGCTTCCCAATAAATCTCTGACGGACGCTGATTTCATATGGCGTATGAACTCTGATATCATCTACATCCTTTGATTCAAACCGGTGAATGACCTGAGAATTGCAGTCACTGATTTCCAGGCCAGAAGCGAAGAGCGTGAGTTTTCCTGGCTTGACATTTGAGTCTGTTCTGTGGGTGATAATAACTGGAATTCTAATTATGATTCCTTCCTGGTTCTTCGAATCGGAAACTGTGGCAGTTTCCTTTGGCTTGGTTTCCAATGGCGCTTTCCAGAGTTTGCTGCTGAACGGCCACCAAGAAGGAGATTCGAGCTCAGTCAACAACCTAGAGGAGAAAAGAGAGTGTTAGAAGAGCAAAAGCCAGTAGGAGGGTCGTGCTACCCCACCAGTTCAAAGCAAATTACCACAGATGCAAAGATTTCTTAATACTGAGGCCAGCCCTCTGCTATTTTGCTCCTGAAACCTATTCACGGCTTACCAGGGGCCATCCATTTTAAAAATAAAGAGCTTTTCTTCATTTGCTAACACGTTGGAAAGCGGTCCCAGAACCTCACTGTTCTGATGCGAGAAATCCAACTTCCAACTGGATTTATTCAGGCCAATTTACACCCATCTGTTCTTCAGCTAGCACTGACTTTTACCTCAATGTTTCCACACTTGGCCATCGCCACCACTGCCTTTTTCTATTCCTTTATACCTCAGCCCTATAGTCTGATGCCATCTTTTGCTTTGCCCCCACTCCCAAATTGCCATTGCCAGTTAAAACACTGAAGAGTGCAAGGTTGAGGCTGAAAAGCCCAGCAGGCACTGGCATCCAGCATCTGCCTCACCAGCAGTGTTGGTGTAGCTCCCAAAGGAGACAGACCTCCTTGCTGGCAAACCAGTGCTTTAGCTTCAAGGTAATCAGACTCACTTTATGGAGGAATTAAAGCAACTGCTCCCAAGGAAGACCACTGTATAGCCAGAACTAACACAGGGAGTCAAGCCCCTTATTTTTAAGCAAGAAAATGCACCGAAGCAGGCACCTAAGTTTATCAGCTGCAGGCAAGAAAGATGTAAATGTTGTTAGGAAGAATCAGTGACATGGAAGACACTATCCTCCTGTTGTATTTTCTGTCACCATAGCCCATTCCCCATTTCTGGGGTTCTCTCCCAAGAACAGATCATGATCACAGACCTCTTTGGGTCTAAGCCTCAGCAGTACTCTTTCCACGAAAAAAAGCCGTGAATGAGAGGAAAGGTGGTGGTTTTGGTTTGATTTTCCACGTGCTGTGCTGTCTGTCTGATGGCATCCCTCTCTGGGTCTAGCCAGGAGTCAGAGCCACAGTCTGCACCTATGATGCTCCGTTCCTCCTGCTCTCCTCTCATCCCCTGCCCCTCACCCAAACCCATCCTGCTAGCAGAGGATCCTGTATTTCAGGATGATTTAGCCTCAATGGCTGGAAAGAAATTTTGGGGCCAACTACATCTGCCTGCACAGTCAACTAACTTAATATCCCCCC